GTATAATTTCCTTACTTTGTTTAGTAAGACTTATTACAACATGTATTTCTGTCATATGGTTTCAAAAATTCACTATATGGAATGTTTTGCTTTTGAATGAAAAAAATGCTTGTTCTTTTTGTTTGTTATTGAAATGATCTGTAATGTATGCTTCAAATCTATAAAGATAATAAGTAGGTAATATGTAGTCTATAATGGCACGACCACACATTAAATGACTGAATGTAAAGTTAGAACAAAAAATAGTACAAGAATGTACTGTAACCATGGCATTAATTTTACCAATGTATAATTTGATACAAATTCTTAAAGGTGGAGACTAAAAAAAGCATTCCGTTATAATTTTTTTTAGTCAAAACAAACATTCGAAAAAAAGTAAATAAAATCCACTGATTAAATTTGACTTCGTAATAATAGTTTATGAATGTGACTACTAACACACACAATGGACAAGTAAGAATAACAACATAATAGGAGTAGATAATAGTAGTAAATATAAACAAATAGCAGTGGCAGTAACTAGACATTAAAGAGACAGTAATGAGACACTAAATACACTGTAATAAACATTGTAAAAACCCTTTTATCCGGGGGTCTTCAGTAGAAGAACAAACATTACAGCAACATAATTGTCAAAAGACTAACAAAAAACACCAAGTTGATAACAACAAAGCACCATGAAAGTAAAGAACATTAAAACTGAAACATGAATAGCTTACAACAATTATTAAAGGCGAAAGTAAAGACAAATGCTAATCTATTTTGAAACTAAAGACTACGGACTGAAATGGGATTCATGCATGACTTCTTATTGTGTCCACCTTTTTTACACCGTGAACACCGTTGGCGGGAAGAAAATTCTCCAGTTGAAGGTATACGTTTCTTCTTAGGTCTACCAGGTTGGCGTGTGAGACATGTAGGTGGCTGGCATATTTGAGACCTTACAGAAGCAGGAATGTCCCAATCCACAGAACCAATAGGGTGCACCACACCACTATAAGCAGCAACCCAAGATTGTGTGAAGTAATACTTTGAAATATAGTCATAACAAGATAAACCGCGACAATGACACACAACAGCGACACCATGAACACATATGAACTGCTCAAGTTGAAACTCACAACATGAGCATGTCTTGGCTTTCAAATCAACAACAAAGCTTCTGGAAGTTGTGTCCACCACCACAAACTCAAACTGAGTAGCTGGCTTAACCTAGAATATGATACAAAATATTAAAATAAACTAGTATAATAAATAATATGGCTAGCTGAGAAGAAACAATGCTTTAAAATGATTTTACAAGTAATAAGTAAAACACTTACAGTCATAAGTGATGCTGCAGCATGGTAAGCACGAAGTTGGGACTCAAAGTGCTCAGAAAGAATTGTTTTATTGGTTGCTGATGCATCACGGCGTTCAACGAACCACTTTTGCATCCTTTCCGCAAAAAAAAAACAATCAATTTTGCTATGGGGTATTCACGGGGAACACGGTCCACTGAATTAAGTGACTCTGCATTACTGGATGTCATTATAGAGTACCGAGGGAAAGTAAAGTAACAATGTGCCCATTTTTCAACACCTATTTCATACAAATAGTCACGGATACGAGGATCTTCAGGATCTAATAACGCCAAGAAACTTTCCAGTTGAGCAGGAGTGGCAGCTCTGGCAGCCTGCTTAAATTTCCATGAAAGGCCTTTCGTACAGCCCTTGAACTTTGACCTGATATTTCCAAACAGGTGGAACGCACAGTACCCATGTTTAGCATGTGGAAACATTGTCCTTGCTGCATGAAGTATACCCTCATGATGGTCTGAAACAATGTACAAATCACTCCTGAATGCAAGACACTCCTTTAGTTTCTTAAAAAATCAAGTCCATGTTCTCTTTCGCTCGGTGTCACAAACAGCAAAAGCTAGAGGAAATATATGCTTGTTAGCATCTTGAGCACAAGCGGTTAGTAGAGTCCCTTTATAATATGCTTTCATAAAGGATCCATCAATACTAAGGACAGGAAAACAATGATTCCAACCTTGAATCCACACATCCAAGACATGAAAAAAGACTCAAAACGATCATTGGCATCAATACCTAAGTTGATAATTGAACCAGGATGCTTCTCTTTCAAAACATGAGCAAGGGACGGTAACAACTGATATGATTCCTCATCTGAACCCATCAACTTTTGTTGAGCTTTTCTATTTGCATTCCATGCTTTTTTGTATGGCAAAACAATACCATAAGTATGAATCATGTCAACAATGATATCTTTTGGAGCATACGGTTTTCTTGAAGCATCAACATATCGACTCTTTATCAATTCTGCAATTATATCAGATGTCGCTTGACGATGGGGACCTTGTCTAAAATCAAGAGAGCAGATATGAACACGGTCAAACCTGAAAAGGAATCATACAATAATAACACAGTAAATAGATAGTAAATAGTAATAATAATACAAAAACAAATTCACGAAAGGGCAATGAATTAAATGATCAAATTACCTTCTTATTTGAAACATTTGACAACCACTCAACCTCATTGCACGAACAGACCAAATACAATGATCATCCAAGAAAACAACATGCAATACTTTTCTATTTGATGTCCTCATCTTGTATTGGAAAAGATTTGAAATAGCATACATTTTCAAATGGAAATCCAATGCTGTTTTGTCCTTGTAAATATAGTCTATAGCTATATGTGTAGGATTAAAACGAGAGAGTACTTCAAAATCTTGGAAATCAGAAACATTGTGTAATTCAAACTCTAGACTAACATCATCATCTTCAATGACATCAAGATCTTCAGTGACAGGAGATGAAGATGAAGCTGTAGGCAAAAGAGTTGTATCTTCACAATCCATTGAGATCTCATCATTGGTAGCATAGAAATCAAAAGAATTGTCTTCATGCAAAGGAGAAGAAACTGAGTGTAAGAGTAATTGGTCATGTTCATCAAGTGGAGAAGCATTTAAATCAATTGCAGCACCTATAGAAGAGCAGTATGCCTCATTATAAGCGGAAATAGGGCATAACTCAACACATAAGGGATACTTCGCATAATCAGGCTGCAATTTTTTAAGAGCAAAGTAAAATTTCAAACTATTATCATCGTAACAACAACCAGAGGAGGGCATGACTCAACCAAATATGTAAACTTAAGCATCTCTTTTGAAGCAAGTGCACCAATGCATGAGTAAGCCAATTCAGTGAAAGCATTGTATAATGTCTCATCAGGAAGTATTAGGCCGCAAGTTCTTTTATTAGAAAAAACATGCGAATCATACCAACAACCATCAACTTTGAGCATAATCAACATCCTGCAAAGTGTATGAAAATAGCAATGAACAAAAACATTCATAAATTTTGAAATAAATTGCAAAAAAAAAAACCGAACTAAAATACAAAGTATATTGATTTGTTCAATGAATAAGCAAACTACATCATCTTCATACATATTAATATATCCGAAAACAATATAAGAAACTGAGAATTACTAATTCATAAAAACAATTACATTGAAATCCAACGATAAAAACGTAGGAATGATAACAAACATTGAAATCCAATGAATTCAAAAGATAAGGAACACTCGAATGATAGGAAAAATCGCATGAGCTACATAACAAACATTTGAATACAAAAAACTAATACAAACAAAAAAAATTATGCGGAAGATGACAAACCTGAGAACATGATCGCGAAAAAAGCAGAGCAAAACAACTTACATGAGAAAAGTGCAGATTACGTAGAGAAGATCATCGCGAGAGATAATTGCGGAAGAGAAAAGCGAAATAATTGAGAGAACGCAGAGATCAAGTAGAGAAGATTATGGCGAGAGATGTTCGGTAGTTTAGTTTCATGGGAAGTGGAAGTTTTGAACTGAATACGTAATTCTGTTTCCTAAACGCAGAGATCCGTAGAGAAGTTTATTTAAGTAGTGGGGGTAATTTTGGCAAATCATATTTGTGTTTCCTAAAATAGGAGTTCTCGAGTCCTACGCAAGTAATTCTCGGATCTGGTCTTATTTTGGTCAAAAAGCCAGGAAAGTGTTCTACCGAGAGCAATTTTTTCTTTTTTAAGTGATCATTTTGGATTGGGCAAAATAATTAAAATAACCCAAACTTTGAAAGAGTGTGCGATGAACACCCCAAACTTGCCATATGTAATTTAAATACCCCAAACTTTATATAAAAAGTTATGTTAGCACCATAGTCAAGTAATATTTCTTTCAAAAATCTAAATTTACGGGGTTAATTGCATAACTTAAAATATTTTAGAATTCATGAAGACACAATTAACATTCTAAACTTCCATTGCGAAATAAATAATGTTACCCCCAATCTATATAATTACAACACTTTTAATTTGCTATTTTAAATTACGCAATTAACCATATAAATTTACATTTTTGAAAGAAATAATGCATGACAATGGTGTGAAAATAATATTTTATATAAAATTTGGGATATTTAAATTACATATGCAAGGTTGAGATGTTTTATTCCACAAAAACCAAGTAAATGATTAAATGGACTTGGAAAACGAGCTACCAGATGGTCACTCTTTTAAGAACATTTTAGATTGCATATGGTTTAATTACCCAAATCACAGTTGAACTCAATTATGTCACAAAAACTGGTTCAAATACATGTCATGTTTGGGACAATAAAAACTCATTCTCATTCTATTTTGGAGGCATCATATCCATTTACCGGGGCCGAAATTAGATACTACATATTATCTTTGGACAAAAATCATTTTCGTCCCAAAGTTTGTATCAGGTCTAGCTCTGATTAGGTAGTTAATTGTGATGAATTGAGATCCTTGCGGTAGAGTGTCTTGTGGCAGGGGAACCGTCCGTTGGAGTTTTGATCGGAGGACTCTAATGCAAGATGACAGTGACTCAGGATCCAATCTACACACAAAATTAAAATCTCCATTTCCAATTTCCCAAATTTGGTGTTTTAGTTTTCAAAAATAAAGCTGAAGCTCCTATCACCCTTGATGAATCCGACCATGAAGAAAGGTAAATAGTTATTGAACAATAATTTACAAGCGATACAGATGAGCTTTGCATGTACCCCACAGCTAATAAGTAAGTTCAGGACATAAAACAAAAACTGGCTATATTGTTTTTTGTTTCAGAAAGATACTGAACAGTTTGTTTATGAGCCAATGTCAAAATCTACTTTCTGCCAAAGAAGCTTCTCAGCCGCCCTCTTTCCAAACGCATTTGCAACTTCTTCGCCCCGGGAACCTCCATCTCGCTAAGCTTCTTAAGGTAACCGATCGCACCATACGAAACCATCAACCTCTTACACCTCTTGCTTGTGGACAGCATACTAAGGCACGAAACCGAATACTTTTTCGCACTATTTTGAGGGTTCGGGTCCAACAGCTGCACCAAGCTCGGCACACTTTTTTCATCCTTCTTCACCTCCCGGCAGTTATGCACAACACTCATCAGGCTACATATTGCCTGTGCAGCAGCCTCCCTCGTCTCGTTCTCCTTTGCGTCCAACATCTTAACAAGAAGCGGGATGCATCCTGCCTCGCCCACTGCCAATTTCACATCAACAGACGTGCAGAGTCTGCATATTGAAGAAGTGGCAGCTTTCTGTGCCCCGGGTGAGCCCGTTCTTAGGACGTGTGCCAGCTTCGGAAGGATTCCGAGTGCAATGAGCTTATCTGTCGGGTCCGATCCCACCAAGTTCCTGATTGCCATGACCGTCGATTCTTGGGGTGGGATCGGGGCGTCCAAATAAGCAAGCAGGCTCTGGAGCCCACCCTCAGAAACGACGCATCGTTTGATGTCATCATTGACGGAAGTGAGATTCTGCAAGCACTCAGCAGCATACCTTTTAGTCCCAAGGAGGAGGGAGAAATCAAGAAGATGGATCATTACTTTGACAACGCCTTCTTGGACGAGAACCTGCCGTACCTCTGGTACAACAGATATGTTCTTCAAAGTACATGCAGCTGCAGCCTGAGTTACCGAATCAGAGGTTGTACATATCTCCATTAGCGGCCTAACTCCGCCGTGTCCAACGATTGACCTGGAAGTCGAGGTCGAGACAGACAGCCTCTGGAGGGAAAGAGTTGCCTTTTCTTTACCCAATGTAGTACCAGATTCAACTAGTCGTATCAGGGGTGGAAGTACGCCTTCTTCAACAAGCCAAGTGTCGCACCTCCCGGCCAAGGAAAGCGAGCAAATGACTGTTGCCGTCTTTTCTCTTATTCTTGGAGAAGTGGCTGCAGTTAGGAGTTGAACTAGTGCTGTTATGCTGTTACGCCCCAAAACTTCTAAAACTTTCTTTTCGTCCTCTCGCATTGATTCCAGAAGATGATCAAGAGCTCTATGTTTATCCTCTAGGTGACCGATTTGAAGACGAGCTAGGAATTCTTCGCCTAGAAGGCCTGTCTTGATCAAAATCCCACAATCACGCAGATTTAAATCCAGTTTTGCAGATAAAAAATCCAAATCACTTTGCATCTGAAGCTTCCCCTCATACTTCTCTTTCCCACAAATCTCGGCCAACTCTATTGCACTCTTCAGTGTATGGAACACCGCCTGGATCTGTTCCTGGCAGAGGGCGTTCTTAGAGAAGCAAGGATGAGTTGACAGATCAGACAAGTTTGGAGGGATTTTTTCCAGTTTTGAAATTATCATCTTCCACCTTCCCGGGAAACCTCTGACCTCTCTTGCCCTTGCAAGAGCCTCTGGCACGAGTTTCTGGGCCCGGATTAACCACTCTTCCGCTGACACGTCATCAGCGGCTACGCTCTTCCCATTGTCTTCAACCATCTTTTAGGAGTTCAGAATTAACACCACACTGCCGAAGAGAAGATATCTGCAGCATAAAAATTGATATGAAATGTGAATTTCAAAAAAATGGGTGTTAACGTTCAGATTTTTTGCATAACTTCAATAAATTTACTTTAGATGTTTGTTGATAGTTATTTCACCTTGGCTATTTGCCTTTAATTTATGTACTCAGTAAATGATGAAAAATGAAAGGATATGCAAAAACCAAGAGTAAACAACTATTCACATTTCATCTTCTTTTGCATTTTACTACCAAACTTATGAAAATAAAGTTCTTCAACATTTTTTCTTCTTCACCAAAATTGTGCAAGATCTGAATATATCCTTTGAGTTGAAGATGTATTCAGAACTATGGTTTTTGAGGCACTAGTAAATGAGGAATTTCTTTAATACAGAGTAATAATGATAATAACAGCAAAGAAGTAGCATAGACGTACAGGATATAAAGATTCAAAACATCATCTAGACCTTATAAAAATGAAAACTTTGGACCTGTTTGAATCATGAACATTACTGAGCATTTAAATAACTGCAAAAATTGGAAATTGCTAAACCACGGGCGTTTTCTGAAATTGGAAAAAGGTTTCAAATGGCTTGTGACAAAAGTGAAGAAAGAAACTTCCAACGCCAATCCACCAACCATAAAAGCAGTGGGTAGATACTTTTGCCTCTACTGAACAAGCTCAACATACGTGTGATGTCAATAATATGTTTGGATTCTTCACCAAGTTAATTAAAAAGGGACAGTTCATCAGAAAATATGGGTAATTTAGTCATCAGAGCATAAAGTTCTTATCTTTATCAATTAGTTAGTTATACTGCCTTATCTTCCTCTGGGTTGATGTCTCAATTTTTTCCACAAGAATATGACAGCTTTATTCATATAAATCTTATCCAGTGGCCAGGAAAATCAGAAAAAAGAACTTTAAGTGAAGTGAAGACCCACGATTTTTTTATTCTTCTACATTCCTATGTCTTGATTCTCTTTTTAACCACATACTCCAGGTTTGTGTTTCTTAACCATACCTCTGGTACAACCTGAAATGAGTAGCGTTTCTTAGAGGTGATGAAAAAGAAAGAGTCTTTGCTTCGAATAAAAGGCAGTATTCCAACACACCAGTGTGAATACTTAGATTTTAATCTTCAATTTCTAGAAAAGGGACGAAGTCTCATAACAGAATAAGCAGGAATTAAATAATTAGTTCATTAGTAAATATTATTATTATTAATAATAATAATAGTAATAATACTCCGTAATAGATAGCAGCAGCAACAAGAAGAACAGTAATAATAACAAGAAGGAAAGAATTGATCTTTATACCTCACAAAGTTGTATGGGTTCGATTCATGCCATCCGAATCATTAATGGCCACTAAGACTGTTTCAACAAGCAAAAAACACAAATTAATACAAAAGGGTAGCCAACAAGAATGACATATCACCAACTTGCTATCTATGCTTTTAAGAATAAACTCACCTTAAAAAATAGAAATGTAATCGCTTTACCATCAAAATGTTGAAAACCAAATCTTGAAGTCACACCAGTATTTACATTATTATTCAATAAAACGGAAACTCAGCTAAAGATTCAAACTTTGAGTAAAAAAAACAAGAATTTGAAGGGAGGAAATCAAGAAATGTTGAAGTTAGGGGAAGAAGCAGGCAAACAAATAGATAAATACTGAAACATACCAGATTTGTTAAGGAAAACCCTTGTTTTTCACTTGACTGATATGAGAACAAGGACGCACAGCTTTGCACCGATTCAAAAATACAGTGAAATAGTTGTCTTCTGCTCTCTTCCAATTCTCTTTCTATAGTCTGTAGAATACAGGATAAAACTCGGATGAAAGAATAAACGGCTGAGATTGAAGGGAGGAACAGTGTATGAGACCGTTGGCGGAGAGAGAGGAATTCGAAACTCAAACTCTGCCTATTTTAGGAACACATTAAGTTCATAAACTGCTGATATCTATTACTACATCCGTCTCACTATGTTTGGGCAATTTATACCGTGCAACAGGCACACAATGAGGATGGTGCGTCCGGTTGCAAAACGACGTTGGCTTCATTCAAAACGATGCAGCTGCAGTGGCTTCATTCCATTATTTTTTTATTTCTTTTATTGTTAAAAATTGTAATAATTTTTTTATTTGATATCCGATTTTTATAAATTTTATCATTTTTTTTTATTTTTCATGATCTATCAAATGAGACCAATATTACTTATGTAATTTTAACAAATTATTTTGAAGTTACATTTGATAATATATCATGAAGTTACATCTTCTTCTGCGCGAGTTACATCTTTGTGTACGCGAGTTACATCTTAATATACACGAGTTACATCTTAATGCATGTGAGTAGACCTGCACAATTCCGGGCCGGCCCGCCCGGCCCGCCCGGCCCGCCCATATAAATGGGCGGGTTTGGACACATGCTTTAGCCCACCGGGCCGAGCCCGGGCCGGCCCGTTTAAAATATGGGCGGGCTTGGGTTGTAATATAGGCCCGATCGGGCCTAAAAGCCCGGCCCGTAAACATATTATATTATATATATTATTCTATATATAATTATACATTATATGACTATACGTATAAAACTTAAAATACTTGGAAGTATAATTTCATTACCATGTCATTATTCACAAGTGTCATTATTTTCCATTATTTTCATTATCTCAATGTTTTTACTTGGTTTATAAATAATATTTGGTTTTCATTATTTGATATTTAATGGCATTTGGCAGAGCAGTCTGGGAGATCAATTACTTTCTGGTGAAATGAAGGAGTGTCGAGAAGTTCTTGGAATCTTGGGATACCAATTACTTTTTGTGTTCTACTATTTAAATTTGAACTGTAATGATATACATTTGTTAAGTCTTTTTGGAGATACTCTTGACTATTTTCGCTGCACATTGTGAATCTGTGATTGTGCTTTTAATTATGGAATATGGATGCTTATTTGGAATTTGGATGCTTTTTATTTTCCAGAATCGTTTTGTGTTTCGCATTTAAACGTATTCTTGTGTTCAAAATGTGTTGTGAGTACATTAATTATTTAATTGCATTTAAAATGTTGTGATGTTATTTTATAAATATTTTCATTTTTTTAACAAAGTTGACAAAAGGATATTTTCCGGGCCCAAAAGCCCGGTGGGCAGCCCGGCCCGCTCTCATGGGCGGGCTTGGACATATGAGGAGACCCGTTTTACCGGGCCGGGCCGGGCCCGCCCACTACAAGTGGGCAGATTTTTTAGAATAAGCCCGGCCCGAGCCCGGCCCGAGCTCGTGTTTGTGCAGGTCTACATGTGAGTTACACCACGAAATAAACCCCTGCTACATCTTTCATTTTTATCATTTGAAAAATAGTGTATGAATATGAAATACAATATACTTATTTTATGTGGATTAATAAAATTTTGTATTAAATTGGCAAAGAAAAAAATTAATTCAGTTATAATTGAATTAGTTCAAGATAAAGATAAGTACAAAAATCACAAATAATTAGATATAACTCACACATAATTACATGTAACTCGCGCATAAAAGTATGTAACTCGTGTATAACAAGATGTAACTTACACATAACAAGATGTAACTCACACATAATAAATTGTAACTGGAGTATAAGATGATGTAACTTCGTATATTATCAAATGTAACTCCAAGCTAGCAGCAAAACAAACAAACACAATATCTTAAAAACCTCTAAAAATATATAAAAGTGATAAAAAAAATATTATAGAAAAAGTGTATGCATATAAAAATATATTACAAAAAATGTATGAATGTAAAAAATTAAAATTACATAGGCAATATTGGTCTCATTTGAAAGATCATGAAAAATAAAAAATTTGATATAAATTTTATAAAAATCGGATCAAAAATAAAAAAATTATTAACAATTTTAAGAATAGGAGAAATAAAAAAATAATAAAGAGTGAATGGTGAACACCATGCACCGGTTCCACGGTATAAGCACTACTATGTTTGTGACAAAGGAGTGTGACACAATTTTTAAGAAAAAAGTAGAATTGTGTGGTTGGTAATGAATTGATAAAGTGTGAATAAAGTAAGAATGAATTCTAACCACCCAAATATTACCGAATATGGTATGAGACAAACTTAATAGGACGAACGAAAAAGATAAAACGGGACAAAGTTAGGGGGACGGAGTATAATATAATAGCAAAAAAAACTTCCCATTGCGGCCAAAACTTTTCGGAGAAAGGCATAAAGAAATGTTCTAGAGAAACTTCCGGATAAAACTATTATTGCCTTTGAGACTTCTAATGGCAACGTTTCAGCTGCTCAATGTATGGCAATTATTTTTGCCGCCCGCCCAGCGTCATTCTTGAGGCCACGTGTAAGGGACATGTGTTTTGATTTGGTAATATATATACGTGCCATTACAGGGATATATTTGTTGCAGTAGTACACGTTTGATGAAGACAACCAAATAATAATACCCTCTGTCATACGAAATGAGCGATTAAAATTTCTACCCCACTTCAGTTGGTTCAGTGATGAGAAATTTGGACCAAGTGACCAATGTTCGAAACCCGCAGCGGCCGTGTGGAGGTCACAGAACCTGAAATAAGGTTGGACCTCTGGTACGCACGGGAAAAAGGCCTACCATCATTGGGCCGACTGAGTCACTGTGATTAACATCCTCCCAGAAATCCTGTCGAATCGGGGTATGGGGGCTCCTGGGTGGAAGATTCCACCTTTTGGACCAAGCAATTAAAATTTCCAGGGCTTAATGTCTTCGGCGTTGTCCTGGTGCTGATGTTTTTAGAGGCTTACAGCTATTTACATTATGAGGGTTTTGAGGGATTTTGCATCCTATTTCATGATAAAAGAGGTTAGAAATCCTTGCTTGATTTTGATTTGAAAAGCCACATAAGTGTTTTCATAATTCTTACTCCGTATTTCCAACTTCCAAGTTACTCCGTATAAGCTAATAATGCCATAAGGAGGGAGTTTCTATTAAAAGAAATTAAATTAGTGGCTTGAGTATATGAGAACAAAACTGGTTTTAGTATTCAATCTATCTTACGAGAAACTCAATTACCCTAAATACAGACTTTAAAATTGTGGATAACTCAATACAATAAAGAAATTGTTCTGGACACATGAAAATTTCATGACGGTTCCATTTTCGACAAAACACAACAATGAATCCAGTACAATTGTACAAACAACTTCACATGTCCTTCAAATGTTCTGAAAATGATGGTGAATTTTAATTCTAAATTCCATAAAGGAAAATTGTGTGAATGTAGTAAAATAAACTTATTTAGCTTAGTTTAAAACTGATCCGTAAAGCCCCGGGTACAAGTAAAATAAAAACTGATTTATTACTATTACACTACAAAAAAACACGTCGTTTGTCACGGACTTTGTCACGGACGGCAGTTCAAAAAATCCGTGACAAATGATTTTTTGTCACGGATTTGTCACGGATCCCATCCGTGACACCATGGGCGTGATAATGTTTTCGTCACGGAAATTAATCCGTGAGAATGTTTGTCACGGATTTGTCACGGCCACGGTCCGTGACAAAACACTTCACCGGAATCCCATCGCCTTTCCTTTGTCACGGACGCATCCGTGAATAAATGTTTTTATTTTTCAAAAAAAAAATAATTACTTGTCACGGAATTATCCGTGACAAATTTTAAAAAGGTTTTTCAAAATAGAGTGGCCGGGTATTTGAAACGGTCCGGGAAATTCAAATTTTAAATTTTGTCACGGACATATCCGTGACAAAATATTTTGAAAAAAATTTGAAAATTTTAAAATAGAGTGAGCGGGAGCTTTAAAATTTTCAAAAAAATTCAAAATTTTGAATTTGTCACGGATCCCATCCGTGACAAAACATTTTTTTTAAAAAAAAAATACGTTAATTTAGCGTGAATTTATATTTTGTCACGGAACAGTCCGTGACAAAAGTTTAAATTTTTAAAAAAAAAAATTTAAAAATTCAGCGCATTTTTAAAAGTTTATTTCAAAAGTTTATTTAATAAAAAAAACCATTAAAATTTAGGCGCTTTTCAAAAAATTAAACTTAATAATAAATAGTTAAACAATAATCATAATAAATAATTGTTTATAATAATAATCACAATCAACTATTACAAAACACCATCATAATAAATCACCATTAATCACCATTACACATTAGGTATCATCATAAATAATAATCTAATCAAACCATCATTATAAAACACAAATAAACTATTATTTAAACACAATCAAACCATTACACAGTAATATTCATACATTAACACATCAAAATTTTAAAATCCTTAAAATGTTAATAAACTAATTATTACAAACCATCAATGGTCATCATAATCAGCATCAGCATCAGCATCATCAGGTTCGTCACGATGATCGGGTTGCCTTCCGTGGCCACGGCTGCCACCACGATGACCGCCTCGACTGCCACTGCGGCTGCCAGCACGGCTGCTGCCACGGTAAGCTTGAGCTCCGGGAGTCGGGATATCGTCATAATATCCATATGGAAAGTTGTTGGAGATGTGGCTATAATTAGCAAAACCCCTACTACCCATACTGCCCATATTGCCCATATTGCCCGCGAAGGGAACTTGTGGGGTCATCTCGGGGTGCTGTATGTGCATGGATGGACGGTAGGTGGCGTTGAAAATACGCATTTGGCGTTCCATCTCTTCCAACCTTTCTCTTGTTCTTCTTTGCTCCTCATCCCGTATCCGAGCTTCTTCATCCCGCCTTCGAGCCTCGGCTTCACGTTCCTCCAATAGTTTCTCGAGGCGGGTAACCCGATCATCATATGCCGAATGAGAAGATGAGCTAGCTCTTTTGGTCTTCTCGAGGATCCGTACGCCTTCAGAACCCATGAACGGCACCCGGCCCTTGTAAACTCCGGTTGCCGCCAAGATGGCTTCATCATCTTGATTTTCATCAAGTTCGGCATCA